GGAGAAGGGCCTCTCCCGCCGATCTCAGGGGGCGACTGGGCAAATATCTAGGCAATGGGACATCAGTTTAAAGCAGTCAGACTCCCAAGGTGAGTAGCATTGCTATACTGCTAAGAAGGGAAAGATTTCTAGACAATCATCCCCCTCCTTTTTTTATCCTTGCTCTATTTCTGATTAAGATTTATTTAAACTATTGGTATCCTAATCTTCAGCCAAAAAAGCACTCAGAACAACTTCCAATCAGCAAGAAAGATGCTCTGCCCATAGGCTTACAATAAAGACAGATCCAGCTCACAAAGAAAAATAACGGTGATCAAAGATGGGAAAAATTAGGTACCATCAGGGGGGAAAAAAGTACTGTCCCTCTCCCTGCCCCATATCCTAGAGAGAGGGGGGCTGTCAAACTGGAATAAGTCCTTATGTTTCCTTTGCCTGTCCTCTTATTCCTCCTTTTCCCCACTGTTGTTGGTGTTAGTTGGGCAGTAGTACTTGAACAGTGTTATTCAATGGTTTTCGGCGCCAGGTAAAGACCTTTTTATTTAAACATCATTTCAATTGTTAAAACATATGATCTGGCCTGGGCAACTTCTTCTTCCTTCTCTTTCTCATCCTATATTTTTATTTTATACTGATAATTTTAATTTTGTATTTGTAAATCAATGTATTTTTTGTATTGTTATATTTAATGGTAATTTATTATGTACTATTGTATTTCAATGTATTTTATCATGTTGTAAGCCGCCCCGAGGTTTCGGCAAGGGGCGGCATAGAAATGTTATAATAATAATAATAATAATAATAATAATAATATAGACCTGTATTCTTTGTTGGAAAAGCTCTATATTGGGGGTCATTTTCCATTGGTGGGTTTATCCAAAGGCAAGGAAGGGGGCAGGGCTTGTAATAGTATAATTTGTATTCTTAGAAGATAAATCCAGCCCCAGGGTTTAGGAAGGCCTTTAAAGGGCCCCATAACCTGGAAGATTTGGGACATACCATTCTTTTTCTCTACTGTGAACTCTTGTGAGTTCATTGTACAAAATGAGAATTGGAGATGGCAGGGAATCCTTGCTGGACATTCTGAAAATCAATGTTATGTCCCAGGAAATCATTTCTGATTTGTGGTGATCTTATGAATGAATGCCTTCCATTATGTCCTATCCTTAACAGCCCTGCTCAGCTCCTGTGAACATAAGGCTGAGGCTTCCTTTATAGAATTGATCCATCCATCCCATAACTGGTGTTTTGCACTCAATTTTCCCTAGCATTACTGTCAACTGTAGTCCTTATAAACTTATTACACCTGTCTTCCATCAGCTGTATAGGCTGCCAGTTCCAGTCTGGGCCAAATTCAAGGTCTTGATTATAAGACATATAAAGCCCTAAATGGCCTTGGACCACTTTATTTTTGGGAATGCATTACTCCATGCATACTGCCTGTCACCTACCATCATCAACAGAGGCCCTCCCATGAATTCCTCTAGATTTTTTTTAACTAAACAGTAACCCTGAGGGGAAAAGGCAGAAATACTTCTGAGGGGATCATACCTCTCTTAGTAGCGTAGATCTGGTGGGATGTTAATGGCTGTGTTGAAGCAGTGGTTCCTTTTGAACCCAGCCTAAGAAGGTACTAACAAATATATATCACTTTGGTTCAGATTAGACTGCTTGCTCTTAGCTAAAAATATGGCATGCAAGCATTCTTTTCATTGCAAATAAGTATCCTCATTTGAGGATTCCAGAGTTTTAAATAAAATCACTCAAGAAACAATAAGGAACACAAGCAATTGTGACTGAAAAGAGTGCATCTGGAACAGATTCTACTGGAAATGTGTCAGGCCTAATTGATACTATACACACATAGATCAGGTGAAGAACCCCAGGACCAAGGGCCAAATCAAGTCTTCCATGGTTCCTATCTAGCTTCACCCAACCTGCTTCCCACCCCATCATGAGGTGGTTCCTCAACACCTGTTCATATGTATGATGCTGGCTAAACAGCTAAAGCATTTCTGTATCTTGTTTGCAAAGGTGTTAGTGGGGTGAAGATGTTTATTTAGGGCATGGGTCCTCAAACTATGGCATGCGGGCTGCATCCGGCCCGCCTCAGCGCTTCTGGACTCGCTCGGAGAAAACGATCTCCGAGCGAGTCCAAAAGCTCTGAGCCAGTGCAGGCGTTCTTTGAAACTGAACAGAGAGCCAGTGCATGCGCCAAATTGTAAGAGCTCAACTACGTATGTGCTCCCCCCCCCCCACTGGATGCATATACAGAGTGGGAATAAGGAGTGGGAAACAAAAGAGAGGTGCATGGAAATAAGACTAAGAAACTAAAAAAGGATTGAAGGTAAGAAAAATGTAACTTTTAAAATCTATTTTTAATTATATGAGCCTCGTCTCTAGGCTGCAGGCCAAGCCCTGTTCCTTGCTTCCCCTCGCCTTGGCCCACGGAAAGCAGCCCCTTACCTCCTCGTGGCCCCTTCCTGGCTGGGGGAGCCGTACTGCCCCCGCCTCTCCAGCCTCCCGCTCTTGCTCCCCCTCCTGGAGCCAGGTGAGAGCCTGCAAGGGGATGTTCCTCCAGCTTGGAAGTGGGGCGGTAGCAAGGAGCTGGGAAGGCCTCAACTGAGGTGAGTGCGCCCGCATGGCTCCCCCTCGTGCTGTGCTCTCCCTTTGGGTGGGCAGCGCAGCGTCATCTTGGGCTTCTGCTGCAGCCTGAGCAAGCAGAGCAAACATTTTTAAATTAATTTTTAAATGTTAATTTTTAAATTTTAATTAATTTTTATTTTAATTAATTTTTAATGTGCTGTGTGCATAGGAATTTGTTCTTTTTTTTTTCCAAACTATAGTCCGGCTCCCCAACAGTCTGAGGGACAGTGAACTGGCCCCCTGTTGAAAAAGTTTGAGGACCCCTGATTTAGGGCAACAGATTTCCAGCTCTGACTGGGTGAACAGCCGGAAGGTCCGTGTACCACCCACTAATTATTTGAAGAGTTATGCCAAACTACTACTACTTGCTAGAAAGAATGGAAGCCTGCCTGTAGCGAACATCATACCAAAGACTACACTTAACATCAGGCTATGTTTTTAAGTCATGCTGGGAGCATCCAGTCATACAAAACAATCTTTATTTACAGATACAGAGTACATATCAAGGGACAGGAGGCAAGCATCAAGTGGTCAGCTTGTTTGTAGTCCAAGCTCCACTGGACAGCTTGGCCAACAGAAATATCATACAGCCCAAGCCCCTAAGTGTGCCAAAGAAGGGAAGGCTGATTTTGGCCCGTGCCAAAGTTACTCAAGATCATTGAGTAACTCCAGTTCAAAGACCTGCAGGTGCTCCTTTAGCCTTCGATGAGTGTCAGAGTTGTGTGGTCGTCGCTCTCGCTGTAGCTCACAGATACGCAGGCGGAGCCGTTGCTCTCGGCGGCGGCAAGCCTGCAGTTCTCGCTGAGCTTTCCCCAAAGCATCAAGGGCTGCTTCTGCTCGCCTTTTCCAGAGCAAGGCGCTACCTACCTGGTAGCTGTGCTCGTTCTGGATGTAAGCACCAGCTGGGGGTGGGAGGCGCAGCATGTAGAGGGAGAGGGAAACGGGATGGGATGAATCCCCCACTGGCTCTGGGAGAGCTGGAGAGGGAGTTGCTTCTTCCTGGCCTGTAGCAGCTGGTGACTGCTCCAGGGGAATGTCTGACAGGGTGGCCAAGCGTTCTGGCTCTGGCCCAGCAAAGATGGGCTGGTTTCGGGGCTCACCACTGGTGGGAGCAGCCCCAGGGCTTGGCAGCTCTTGTTCGGGGAAGCACGAGATGTCTATGCACAATGGCGTCGATTCCTCCTTTGGACAAGGACCACCACTGTGAAAAAAACAGAACAGAACCATAGTCAGAGAAGAAAATAGGAGGGAAGATCTGCCTCATTTCTCCCACCCAAATAATAACAAATGGGAGAAAACAGAAGAAATCAAAACAAACCATGCATTTGTTGAGGGTCTACAAAGCACATGTCCCTGCTCCAACTTCAAGAACTAAGCCTGCCCACAGGAAGTGGCAGAAAAAGTGCTAAGGTTGGACAGGAGAAAACAAGAAACTTCTTTGCGCAGTTCTAAGCAAGTCTCTCCTGTAATGTACTTACCAGGTCATTGCCAGGTATAAAATGAGATGAGAAAAGGCAAGCATGGTATGGTTGAGAATAGTCAGATCCTATATAGTTTTTTCGGCTTTGACCCAGTCGCTTCATTCTTTCTGGCGCTACTAGTACTAGCCCTCTGCTCTTCCCCAGTAGCATATTAGACAGTGGCATAACCTGAGGGGCTCATCTTCCGGCGTCATGTCTTTTTGCCTTTTGGTACTGTCCATGGGGTTTTCATGGCAAAGATACTGGAGTGGGTTGCTATTTCCTTCTCCCGTGGATCACGTTTTGTCAGAGCTCTCTGCTATGACCTGTCCGTCTTGGGTGGCCCTGCACGGCATAGCTCATAGCTTCACTGAGCTACGCAAGCCCCTTCGCCACGACAAGGCAGTGATCCTTTGGCCACCTAATGAGAAGGAAGGACTCCCTGGAGAAGAGCCTAATGTTGGGAACAATAGATGGCAAAAGAAAAAGGGGACAGCAGAGGATGAGGTGGCTAGATGGAGCCACTGAAGCAGTTGGTGTGAGCTTGAGTGGACTCCGGGGGATGGTGGAGGACAGGAAGGCCTGGAGGAATGTTGTCCATGGGGTTGCGATGGCTCGGACATGACTTTGCGACTAACAACAACAACAACAATATAGTTCTTCAACTACAATCCCAGATCTGTTTTTTGCTATTGATCTGGATCTTGATGGGGGTTTTTTTCTCTGCCAGATCCTTGGCCATGCTTTTCTTGGTTTCCAGTCTCAGACTCCACAATTCTATCATATCACTCTTCTACAAAAACCCTCTATGTCAAATGAATGGACTTTGAGGTAAAAAATCTGGTAAGTCTGTGATCTGCAGTCACATGGAAGCCCCACTGAACACAGCGGGACTTCTTAGTAAAAATGCACAAGATTGAAGAGTGAGGGAGGAAACACTTTCCACAAAGCAAGGGAAAACAAGATCAGAAGGATGGTGCTCACCTTTGCTTCTTTTCACGCTTTACAAGTTTGGAGTTGCCTAGTTTTGATTTTCGGCGTGGTTTGGCATGAAGCTCAAATATGGTGGGAACAGCACCCTCCTTGAGCCTGTGGTAACCACTACAAAGGAAGAATGATACTTATAAACCATCACTAGCTGCGGATAGCCTAGCAATTTGGTCCTGAAGAAAGTCATCTGTATTGAGAACTACTGGACAGTTGGGTGAGATTTAGTGCAGTTACCATTAACCAGTTCCATTTAACTTCACAATTATTTGCCCAGATCTCTTCATAAGCATGCATTGGAGAGTTCAAAGCATACAGCCTTACTTTATCACCCATGCTGTTTGTTTGTGCAGTTCTACCTAGCACAACAAAAAATCAAACAGCAGGCTACTGCTGGGGACTACAGCCTATCCAACAGACCAGGCATTCTTACTGTTGAAAATGAAAAGCTTGCTGGGATCCAGCTTGGATTTGACAAGGTCTAATTTCACAGTGTTTGCTCATGTTGCTATTTGTTTTTCTCTAGAGGGATAATACAGACTGAAAACTGGTCATCCTGAATAAACCAGAATAAATTCATTATTCAAGAATTCTTTCATCTTCTGGCCTTCATGTCATTTTTTACTTTTACCTTATCTTCAAAGATGTCTTTAAACACAGAGAAGCTTGCATCTGGTTTCACAACGGTATATCTGTGATCTGAGCCATTTATTTTACTTATGCATGTCCTTTCATGCCCTTTGATATACTGATGACCTACCTGGTACCCACCAGTTCGAAGCAACTCTTTTCAAAGTGCTTAGAGCAAAAGTAAACATATTTAGAGGCTGGGTCCCAGAGACCCTGGCCACTCATATCCTTCCGTCGACAATTCTCCAACCAAGTGGCTCGCCGTGGATTGTCCTTCGGCAGTCTGTGAAATGACACAGAGAATGAATAAGGGTTACCCTGGCAAGGAAGTGGCACAGCATGGATTATGAATGTCATTTTCTCAAGCTCAAGGAAAATGGTGGTCTTTACAGGAACTTTCTTCTAATGATACAGATGCCTGTGCTGTGGCATTTCCTGTTTCAACTACAGCATAGTAATCCTACCTATCCTTCAATTGTATATGGATACTAAATTGAATGGGAGACTGAAAGAGCACAACTCTCACCGATGGAAGGAAATGCCTCTGTTGCGTGTCTCAGGTGTGTCGCGGGTGCAGCAGCCAGTGGCAGAGCAGTGGCGGGGCATCTGTAAGAAGCAGAGAAAAGATATTTATAAATCCGACTATCCGAAGTGTTCCAAAACTGTTTCTGCTAAGCTATCTTTGCTATGAAAAGCCAACAATTCTGCACCAATTTAATAGAAATTCTGCACTAAACCACACAATCTGAACCAATAAACTCTTGCTTTGCATTTGCTTTTGTAGTCAAGGATTAAGTGAACTCCAGACCAAAACAAATGCACCAGTAATTTTGTAGAGGTGTTGGCTTGTGACATCTCACCAGCCTTGCATACAACCCTCCATGCGTCTCTTCACAAAACATCTGAAAAACTAGGATGCTGAGAAAACTGAACTCTTCGCTCAATTAAACATTCTAGGAATTTTCCACACTGGCACAGAATATACATTCTGGTATGCAAGTCCCTTCCTTCTGTCATTACTCCATGGATACTTGCTTCCATCTGTTTCAATTCCATAGGATGACAGGAGGGAAGAGACTGAAGATTTTATCTTGTGGAAGGGAGCTAGACTTGCCATTTTGCAACCTCAAAGCTCCATGAATTTGCTACTAAAGTTGCCACTGGACAAAATTCCCTGTGACCAAACAGAAGAAAAACTGCCTGTATGAAATCAACATGCCAGAGCTCTTGCACAGGTTGTACACAATAGATTGAAGATCTGGGGGGAGCCTGAAAAATGCAGACGAAACCATTCCATTTCCAAGTTATTGGACACAATGGGGGAACCTTTTTTTTTTTTTTGGTTCCCTCCATTTTTTTCTCCAAGGCCTTCAAATCTCTGTGTAGACAGCAAGAAATACAGGAAGGCCACATAAAACATCCAAACTAAACCAGTCTCAGAAACTTGAAAGAAACGCAGCTAGTACTGGGGCAAGCCTAAAATTGGAACAATGTAGACTGTGCAGATCCTTGAAAGACAGGGGAAACTCTTGTTCTTATGCCTAGAAAAAGGCCACCAAACAAAAGAGCTTTTAAAAAGGGATGGGAAACTGTAGCCAAGAGACAGCTACAATGCTTCAAGTCAAATAAAATTATTAAAATGTATTAATACCATGGAGAATGTGGACAAAGAAAATACTGAAAACAGGACCACCTAATGACATTGACTGGGAATAGACCGAAAACTGACATATGGACAATTTGTGTAAACAATGCCAGATTCATGTGTGGAATGGAATTCACAGCCAGATGTTTATTTATTTATGTATTAAAACATTTTTATGCCGCCCCATTCGCCGAAGCCTCGGCGATGGCTTAGTGGATGTTATATTACATCCTCTAAGTAGCTTAAAAAGAAAAAGAAATTAAAAGCCTTTAGACAAATGCATGGAGAGAAGGTCTTTCAAAAGCTATTTGGTCATTATAGTTAAATGAAAGGTGCAAGTCAAAAGGCACTATGTACCTTTGAATAGCAAGTTCTAGTGGAAAATAATGGAACTGTCAATTTTATCTGTTATTTGTGGGGTTTCCAAGAGGTATCTGCTTGGCCAGTACTAGAAACAAAATGCTTACTGAGATGAACTCCTACAAGCAAATCCAAATTTGACTTGCTATCTCAAGTCCATGTTCAGAATCCTAATTAAAGCCATTCCCTCTAGTGCAGGATTCCCCAATCTTAAGCCCTCTGGTTAATTAAAACTTCTGTATGTTGTAGTAAAACAGAGGGCATAAAGTTGGGGAATAGTGGACTAACCTATACAGACTCTTTCTTTACACTTCATATCATTCTGTCAAGCAGATTTCTCTTGCTCCCAACTTCCCTCATATTTAGATATTATGGTAATCACTGCAATGCACGTATCAAGATGGCACGTAACAGTTCTGGAATCCAGAGAATACAAAATGGATTGTGGAGGAATATGAAGAACTGAAGACAGCACAAGGAACACATGCCAGTATCTAGTAGCAAGATCTAAGAATGATACAGTGTGTCATTTAACTAAAGGGGAAATAAGATATGCAGATATTTGCAACACACACACACACACACAAAAGCCGAAGGTTGAAAGAAAAGGAAAGGATAACATTACATTTCAGAAACAGCATCCATATAAAATAAATTTAAGTTAGACCATCCCTAGCACTCATTTTTGCATTCCTCAGCCTTCCCCCCCACCCCATCCCCAGGAACTTGTGACACCTTACGATTCCCTGTTTTATTTTCAGAACAACACTGTACAGTAAGTTACACTGACTAGATTTACCCAACATGACAACCCACATTCAAGGCTGAGCATGGTTTGTTCTTGAACCATGTGATGTTTTGTGGGAAATCAACTATGCTATCAAACCATGGGTTCTCTTCATGGACTGTTTGTGGTTGTCAAACCATTGTTTGCTAGTGTGTTTGGATTCCTGTAGCAGAACTCATGGTGAACCCATACTGAATGAGTACAAGTCATGTTGTGTGAACAGTAAAACAGCTCAAGGACACCCATTGAGCTTCAGAGCCAAGTGGGGAAATGAAGCCAGGTCTCCTATATTCCAAATCAGAGATTTGCAATGCTACCGAAGGCATACATCCCCCAGATGATTTAACGCAGATCAAAGTACACATGCCTTCATAATGTTCTGTCTACCGATTGCACGATTGTAAACAGGATTAGTAGTGGGAAATATAGAATTGGGAAGAAACATTAGTTACCTGGGATCAGTTATTCTGGGGTAAATGGGAAGAAATAGGGGGCAGCATAACTGAGGGTCAAGCTAAACTGATGGGTGGGGGAAGCCACGAACTCCCTGCTTTCCCCTCGCCAAGGATCTGCAGAATGCGAAGCGATCCGCGTCGGACGGGGGAGATAAAGGGGACAGAAGGGTGCCGAGCCTACAGAGGATCTCACCGATCCCCCCCACCCTCGCATCCCACCACGGCCTTGCAGGTCGCTCCTCCCCGAAAGAAAGCAATCGCAGAGACAGGGCGGAAAACGCCCATGGCGCCCTGCTGAGACGCCAGGAAGGCTCTAAGGGAGAGAAAGGCACCGAGAGAAGCAACGCTCCTCAGTGGTCATTCTTTCGGGGTTCTCACCTCCCCACTCCCATTGCTCGGGCCACCGCCGGCGCGAATTCGAAGGCAGACCAGGGAAGAGGACTCTCGGCTCTTCTCGCGAGAAGTGAGAACGAGCGGTGACATAGACCCAAGAACGTGTAGAGTGTCCCACCCACTCGACGTGATTGCCGGGAGCCTTCTGCTCTAAAATGGGTTGAGTTGTCGTTGAGATTTTCCAGTCCAAATTAGAAGACTGTTTTTCAACATAATGACTCTGAACTAAAAGGCGTCTTCTACTTCCATGGGAGTACCAGCCAAATTAAAATGCGCAATGGTCGCTTTCAGTGTTAAGGGAAGCATAGGCTGGGAAGCACTCTATAGAGGCATCTAGCTACTAGAGTTAGAACCAGGTTCCTCCCTCGAGACGAGCCCCGTTTTTTTCTCGTGGGAGTCGTCGTGCCCCCCGCAAGCCAGTGACACCCCCACCCATTCTCTCCCAGAATAGAACCAACCAACGGCCGCTGGTTCTGTTGAAGGCGGGCTCTAATTTTTTAAAAATGCTGCCCGTGTATAAGACAGTGGCACGCTCCCCCTGGCCAATCAGGGGCGCCTTTCCATTCAACGGCAAGGAAGGCACGAGCGTGAGAGTCAACCGTCTCCGTCTGACACGTTGAGGAGAAAGCAGTCGTCGGTCTGCCAGCTTGCTTATTTATTATATATTTTAAAGCATATAGCTTCTAGGTTTTGGTTTTTCGGGTGATTTACAGCTATGTTCTTACCTCTAGTTGGTAAATATCCACAGCGTTTCAATTGGGTGTTACTGATTTTGGGTAATCAGTTGGGTAATGCTGATTTTACTTTTAAGCTAAAAAAAATTGGCAGCTTGCATAGTTTTAAACAAGAATGATATTCCCTGCTGCGGACTCACAATTTCAAAGGCAGGAGACAAACTTCTTTTTACAGGTGGAGGGGAAAAAATCTTGGGTACCTATTGGGAAGGTTATGTTGTAGTTCTTGTAATGACCACCAGGTGAGGAAACAGTTCAAGCGTGAAAGCAAAGTTTTTGACAAAGTGCCCCATGATAACGTGATTACCAAACTAGCAAAAAGTAGGTGAGATGAAACAACGATCAGGCTGATGTACTTACTAATCAATAGGCATAACTTTTATTGGTTGAATCATGTAATCATCAACACATATCAGGCCTATGAAAAACCGTCTTTTCTAGAAATCAGCATGTGTGCATCCTTGAAATGTAGCTGACACAGTCACCATTCCAGAGAAAGCTAGTTGGAACTTGACAGATGACAGCAGCTCAGAGAAAGGGCAATGCACACCAGCCCAGCCCATTCCCTGTATGTAGAAGCACCCCCTGCTCCCCCCTCCTTCAGAGCATCTTCTTTGGTATGTAAGTGGGAAAGATTTGCACCATTGTAACTTTATTTCTGTAACCTATTGGAAAGTGTTAACTGTTAAGTGTAATTCATCATGGCCTCTGTGCATCACACATATGGGTGCTGCGCCTGCGCAGTGCCTTTGGCTGGAGATTGCAAGCTAACGGTTTTTGACGGGAAGCTCCGCTTCCCCTCCCCCCATGGTCTATAAAGAGTGGAGTGTCAGTCATTTTGTTCAGTCTTTGTGACCACCGTTCACTGTGCCTCGTGCTGCTTTCTACTTTCGCTCTGACCATTACTTGTATAGCCCTTCTTCTCGATTGTTCCAGTTCTTATAGCCCGGTTTTTTCACCTTATTCCCTTACTTCGTATAGTTCCTGTAGTTTTTCTCTATCATTCTACCTTCTTTCGATCTATCTAAAAAAAAAAACAGCAACCCAGAAATAGGACCGATAAATGTTCTCACTGCCTGGCCTTCTCTAAGCAGGCCAGAAAGAATCGTGAGAATCACCTCCGGAGGCTCCTTTGGGATCGGGCTCTCATGCAGTCTGATCCACTGCTTTCTGCTCCAAAGTCTGTTTCCGCTTCAGTGGCTCCACCTTCGTGCCCTTCGGACGAAGGTGCGTCTACTACGGTGGCTCCCTCTGCTTCTCCCAAGAAGAAGCATGAGAAGCGGAAGCATGCCGAACCCGAAAAGTCAGCAGGCCATAAGAAGGCCAGGAAGGAGAAAGTCTCGAAGCCTTCCAAGAAATCAAAGGATTCGGAGTGTCCTCGTCACCGGGACTTGGATTCGACAGCCCCCTTGGTACCGGCGGTGCTTACTGTACCGACTCCACCCGACCTGGTGCTTCAGGAGGCAATGCGGGTTACCCCTCAAGGGTCCCCGCACCACGTGGCCGACCTCCCCACTGGGGCTCTTCCAACTCTCCAAAGAGGCTCGATTTCTGATGGGGAAATTCAGGACTCTCCCCCTAGGGCTCGGTTGCCTACACCCATGCCCGCGGCCACTATAGAGGCGGATGTAGAGATGTCCCCGCCTGGGAGCCGGAGGAGCCGCTCCATGGAGCAACGTTTGGAGGGATGGCGTCGCCCCTACTACCACACCTGGGGTGATCCGCTCTTCTTCGGGTATTATCCCGTTCCTAGGGCTCAGTCCTCTCCACCGTCCCGTGACTGATCGCATCCCTCGGACCTGAGACGTGCATCTCCGCGATCCCCTCGGGATGGAAGCAGCCGCTTTTTTTCTCCGGCGGAGTCTTCATCATCGGCTCCACCATACTACGGTGCCGACTCTGACGATTCGGAGGTCGATTCAACCTCCCCAGATGTCGCTGTGACCTCCCAGGGTCCTGCGTCACCGGACGAATCCCACATCTCCTTCGCAGAGCTGATGTCCAGGCTTGTCCAGTCCCTTGACATCGACGCCATCCATCGTCCGGGACCAACGACGGACAAGTTCTACAACGTTGTCCATGGAGAGCAGTCGACATCGATCGTTCTGCTGCTCATAACCACCCTTTGGCAAGCGATGATGCAGCCCTGGGACTTGCCCTCTCACCTGCAACCCACGTCCAGGAGGTACGAATCCATGTACCGGGTTCGGGAGGAGGACATCCCCTTCCTCCTCTGCCACCCCAAGCCAAACTTGGTCGTGGTGGAGTCCTCCCAGGGCAGAGAGGCTAGAGCACACACGGCACCACGAGACAAGGAGGGCCGAAAGATCGACTCCCTGGCTAGGCGAGTCTATGCTGCTTCAGGCCTGGGGCTACGGATCTCCAATTACGAGGCGACATTGGCGAGGTACCAGTACTTCATTATGCAGCACCTCCACAATGTTGCCTTGACCCTCCTGGACCACCAGGGTGACCTGGTTAAGGTCCTTATCAAGGAGGCAATGCAGGTTGCAGTTCAACAGTTGTCCATGGCCAGGCATCACGTGGACACAGACTCAAGGGCCTTGGTCGGTGCCATTTCGCTCCGGAGACACGCGTGGCTTAGAAATTGCAACTTTCTGGAGGAAACCAAGCGCTGCATAGAGGAAATGCCCTTTGACGGGTCCGGGCTTTTCCACTCTTGCACCGACTACAAATTTAAAAAGCTGCACGAATCCTGAATGACGGCACGCAGGATGGAGATACAGACCCAAACTAGACGTAAGTGGTCATGGAATCACCCATCTCACAGGCAGTCCTACCAGCCAAGACAACAACCCCAGCACCATCAGCAACAACAACAGCAGCACCGCCGTCCGCAGCCCCAACAATGCTATCAACAAGGCCATCACCATTTCGATGACAGGAGACAGCGTTGACGGGACTGGCGAACCATTCCTCGAATTCCTTCTATACCCACCCACCTCTCATCTGGGGATTGGCTGCGAAGCCGACTCCCCATTTGGGAGTCCATCACATCTGATCGGTGGGTATTGTCCATCGTTCAGCACGGCTATCGGATAGAATTCAACATCATTCATCGAGTCCGATCTGGTTTACATCATGTTCGCCGGTATTGCTCAATGAAATACAGCAGCTTCTTCGTAAAGGAGCGATCCGTCAAGTATTCCCATCTGATGGACTTCACAGATTCTATTCCAGATACTTTATGGTCCCGAAGCGGGATGGTGGTTTACGTCCGAGTTTGGACTTAAGTTATCTGAATCGAGTTATTGTACCGACGAAGTTTCGGATGACCTCCCTTCAAAACATCTTGCCTTTGCTAAGGAAAGAGGATTGGTTTGCCTCTTTGGACCTGAAGGACGCCTATTTCCACATTTTGATCCACCCGAGTTATAGGCATTTCCTTCATTTTGCTGTTGCACCCCATCGTTACGAATTTACAGTTTTGCCTTTTGGAGTGGCTACGGCCCCGAGGGTATTCACCAAAAGTATGGCCCCTGTCTGCGCCTTCCTATGCCTCCAAGGCATACAAATTTACCCGTATCTGCTAGTGTTCCAGTCTAGGGAGGGACTCCTTGCATCTATCCGCACAACCTGTGCCTTATTGAATGACCTGGGTCTACACATTAATACCGAGAAAACTTCTCTTCTTCCGACGCAGACACTTACCTTCATTGGAGCCCGCTTGGATTCGACATTGGAAAAAGCCTTCCTTCCTTGGGACAGACAACAGACTCTTGCTCGCCACATCCATCAAATGCGACGAGACGGGATGGTCCCGGCGAAATCCATCCAGAGGATCCTGGGGCATATGGCTTCCGTCGCTGTAGTTCCGCACACCAGGCTTCGGCTCCGTCCGCTGCAACTTCTGTTCAACAAGGTGTACCACCCTCAGAGAGACCCACCATCGAAGTTGATTCGAATCCCATCCTTGGTACTCCATTCTCTACTTTGGTGGTCGGTACCAGCCAATCTGACTGTTGGAGTCCCCTTCAGGGCACAGTCTCCTTCGATAACCCTCAGTACCGACGCATCTCTTCTGGGATGGGGAGCGATATGCTCCGGCCTATATACCCAAGGCATGTGGAATCGTCGAGAATCCACAAATCATATCAACTTCCTGGAGCTATTGGCAGTATACAAAGCCCTGCGCTCTTTCGAGGACATTCTTCAACATCGGGTCGTTCAGATAACTGGACAATGTAGCTACCGTCTTCTATCTGAACAATCAGGGAGGAACGAAGTCACCGACTCTGGCCAGACTTTCCATGAAAATTTGGGACTGGTGCATTCCAAGAGACATCACGCTGATGGCTGTTCATCTCTCTGGTGAGGACAATGTGCAAGCAGATCTTCTCAGCAGGCACATGTTCACCTCTCACGAATGGGAACTAGATCCTCGCATACGCAACCATCTTTTTCAGCGCTGGGGGTTTCCCGACGTGGACTTACTTGCCACCCAACAGAACAGGGTGTGCAATGCTTACTGTTCGAGAGCGGGAACCAGACACGCATCCTTAGGGGGCGCTTTCATGATCCCATGGAACAACATGACTTTTTATGCCTTCCCCCCCGATCTCTCTTATGATGCGGGTCATAGCAAAAATAGTGTATGACCGAGCATCAGGGATACTAGTTGCCCCTTGGTGGCCACGCCAAGCTGGGTTTGTGACACTACTCGACATCTCTCTCAGGGAATATCTTCATCTACCTCCGCTTCCATGCCTTATAACCCAACCTGACGGTATGCTTCACCACCCGGACTTGCTGTTATTGAATCTAACAGCGTGGTGAATTCAATGACTACCACTGTCCCCCTGGTACCGACGGCAACTTCAACTGAATCGAATCCAGTCGTCGAATCCAACCACTCCGGTGCTTCCTCTTCCCTTTCTTTTGTTCATTCCATACCATCGGATGCAAGACACGACCTGTCGAATTTGACAGCCTTTCCTCCTGATATCCAACATATCATCAATTCTGCCTTAAAGCCATCCACATGGAAATCATATGCGGCTAAATGTAAACGGTTTTCTACCTTTGCTGAGTCAAGTTCATTCTCTCCATTTATGTCATCTATACATCAAATCCTTCAGTTCTTGTTAGAACTGCACCATTCTGGATTAAAGCCGTTGTCTATTAAAGTGTATACGGCTGCAATAGCCTACTATCGTGGCTTAGTCGATGGATCACCTCTCTTTTCTCAACCTATTGTCAAGAGATTTCTTAAGGGACTGCATAATCTTAACCCATCAATCAGACCAGTAATGCCTACCTGGAGGCTTTCTGTTGTTCTACAAGGCCTTACGAAAGCTCCCTTTGAACCATTGGCAACAATGGATTTGCACCTAGTCTCATGCAAGACAGCGTTTCTCATGGCAGTCTCTTCAGCCCGAAGGGCCAGTGAACTTTGCGCTCTCCGCATAGACCCGCCTTATTTGAACTTTCACAGAGAGAAGGTCGTCTTACGCCTCGACCCGTCTTTTCTTCCTAAAGTGACTACGCCTTTTCATATGGGACAAAATATTGTTTTACCTGCCTTTTTTCCATCACCGTCGACTCCACTAGAGAGATCTTTGCATTCACTTGATGTTCAGCGTTGCTTATCCTTTTACAGATCGAGGACTGAATCTATTCGACGTTCAAATAGACTATTCATTAAGTATTCTACCAAAGATCAAGGCGATCCAGTCACGCTGCAGAGACTTTCCAAATGGATAGTCCACACTAAAACCTTATCTTATCAACTAGCTAAGATCGATTTGCCTTCAATCCCTTGAGGCCATTCCACTAGGGCCATTGCAACCTCATCTGCCTTTGCATCCGGGGTCTTGCTTGATGATGTATGCCGAGCTGCTACTTGGGCAAACCCTTGCACCTTCGCCAGGCATTACCGTCTCGATGTTCGGGCTCGACGGGATTGCTCCTTTGGCAGAGCTGTTCTTTCATCTGTTCTTCACTGAGGACACCTTCCCGCCTCCTTATGGTAAGCTTGTTAATATACCCATATGTGTGATGCACAGAGGCCACGATGAAGAAAAGCAGGTTGCTTACCTGTAACTGATGTTCTTTGAGTGGCCATCTGTGCAGTCACACAACCCACCCGCCGGCCCCGCTCGGTGTTGGTGAGTGGACACATCCATCGGTACCGAAAGTTCCCCTTTTTTCATGGTACCAACTCACCTTTTTTCCTACCTCAAATTATTTTTTTTCCCACGAGGGGGCGCACGTTCGGTCGTCAAAGACGGAACAAAATGGTGGATGCTCCACTCTTTATAGACCATGGGGGGAGGGGGAGCGGAGCTTCCCGCCAAAAACCGTTAGCTTGCAATCTCTGGCCAAAGGCACTGCGCAGGTGCAGCACCCGTATGTGTGACTGCACAGATGGCCACTCGAAGAACATCAGTTACAGGTAAGCAACCTGCTTTTCCTTAGTGATCAATGTACAAAAGGGCCACCTGAGAATTGCTCAGGTATACCATCTGTTAGTTATTCTTGATTGGTTATTCTTTAAAAGAAATCTTGCCTCTCAAAACCCAACCCACATGTCCACATTGTGAGAGGTGGTAACAGAACAAGGTAAGAGATTGCAAGGATTGGGGGAAAATATGGCATGGCCTTGGGCTATAGGACTGCTATGACAGCCATGAAGGCCATCCTGGGTTACCCTGAAACTACTTGGCAAAAAGGGCTCTGGTGAAGTTGTGGCAGGTCCAGCAAGCTGGCTGTTTGTTGGCCCTCATGCTGCCAAGAAGAGTGAAAGGAATGAAAATGGGCAAAGGATACTGAATTTATGCAGCCAACACCATCTTATCACTAACACTTTTTTGAATACCAAGATTCACAATGCTATCCATGGTATAAATGGAATGACATTGCTATTAAAAGTCAGGTTAATTGCATATTAACAAGAGTTAAAAGAAGATCCAGAATACTTGATGCCGAAACAATCCCCAGTGGACTCCATGAGACTGATCATAAGATTGTAGAGTTAACAGCAAGAAATGATAAATCCAATATTAACAGAAGATCAAATAAAAACCATGAATTAATTAAGATAGCAAAACCTAAGCATGAAGAAATAGTAGAACAACTACAACAAAGTGTAGACAGCATTTAACCAAATGTCACCAGAGGTGGGGAATATGGAGTATGATGGAAGTAATTCAGAACTACCCTGCT